TAGTAGCCACTGTTCCCTACTGTTTCTGGTACGTCCCCACCTGGGCAAGTTGATGTGGACCCCAAGAACCTGGCGAGTTCCGTCATCTTGGCAAACCAAAACTTGGTACAGGATGGCACCAATGGTTCTCTTTATAGAAAAAAAGGATCTCTCTTTCAATCCCTGCCTCCCTTGTCCCTCTCTAGGACCCCTCCTTTTCTCCCCACAGAGCCCTCTCCGCCGCGGCGCGTGACAAGGGATTTCCACCTCATGGGTCACAGGGATCACCTAGCGATCGACCGTGCGGTCGGCGATGGCATCCAAAGCCATGGAAATAGATCTGGACCCGACGACTCTACAGGTCTCCGATGGCTGGAGTTCTTTGGAGGAACAGTCGCAGGTATTCGCAGTGAAGGGTGCTGGCATATGGGATGGGATATGGTGATCTCAAGAAATTGAGTTGTCATGGGATATGATGATCCAATCGGACTGACACCTAAATTTTTGAGATCATATCCCTTGGATCTATCCTATTACCTGTAACAGTGGATGATGATGGCTAGTAAAGGCCTTGTCATGTCCAAAAATGTTGTTTACTGACTGTTACAGGTAAGAGGACAAACCCACCATATCTCAATCATCATTGCCCAGATCATCATATTCCCAAACACGACGAATGGGACTGGAAGATATATGCTTCAGCAGGTCAGGGGTGCTTTGGGAGGGGTCAATGTAGGCATGTATTCCACATGGAGTGTCTGGGAAGTGGAAACGCAATGACAAGCACCTGTCTGTCGGTTTGGTCTTCTGAAAACTCATGGTCGTCTGTTTGTTTGGAAGCCACGGATTCGGAAGAGGTATCCAACCAGCGTTCGTCCGAGCGGGCATATGCCCCAAAGACTCAACCTCTAGAGACTCTATCGACGGTGATTGTGCAAGGTCCAAAAGGCCCAGGATGGCCTAACATAGACTGTTGATATCCGTTGATTAAACAAAGGCCAAAGGCACTAACAAAGGCATTTAGATGGCAAAACAATTTCTCACCTTCAGGGTTGATATAGAAATCAACCGTCGTCTACATGGTAGATCAAACTGGGAACCCCATTGGGGCCGATGGGGGTGAGAACCACTGGGAACTCCTCAAATGCCTCGGATGGACCTCTTGACGTATACACTCGCCCCATCGAAGCCCCATCTCGTCAGTGTCCGCTGAGTCACATGGACCTTCCGCCTCATCCCGCCATAGAAGTTCCATCCGTGCGATTAGAGGGGTGTCGTGAAGGAACGCGGAATCATGTGTCAGCAGTTCTTTACCAGGGCCCCCCTTAAAGGGGTGTCCAATTATAGCTCTTTAGAGGTGATTCGGGATGTCCATTCACCACCCCTGGCACCGGGGGGCCCTGGTACATGATCTTCGTGTTATCATGACATGCAGCGCGGGGTGGGGAATCCACCAACCAACGCCTTCCGCCTTGGGTCAACGGACCCACGGAGCAACCGGGAGCCGACGCCTCGAGCTCCTTCCCTGGCTCTGGCAACTCATCTGGCTCTGCAGTTCCGGTGGGCATTAGTGGCCCCACACGTGCCTGGCGGCGAAAGTGGTGAGGTCATACCGTCATACCCAAACGCGACCTGTCTTGCCATGACGGACAGCCTTCAAAACGGCCGACCGGGGTGGTGCCGGTCTGCCAGTCCCGGACGTGTATGGAAGATGGCTCATTGCAGGACTCGATATGGACTTGATATGAGTAAGTTCCACCACCTTTAGCCGAAAGTTTCAACAGTACGTGAACCTGCCATGCTCCCTTCAGGTACATGTGTTGGCGCATCTAACGTAAAATGCGTCCCCAGTGGAAAGCCCCAATTGATCCCCATCACTATCCAAATCAACCGCCGAGGTTTCGTGCAGCTTGAGCCCAAAGGAATCCAAAAAAGGATCTATCTCAGGGGAAGGATCTTGTTCCGGGCCCCACTGCCTGATATCTACTGAAAACTGAAAGGAGACCCCAAATCTCCCAACAAAGGCCTGTAGTGGAGCAATCCTGTTCGGCCCTACATCAAAGCACCATGCAACATGCGCACGAAACAAAGCCACTCTCCAACCTTCTCCAAGCGCAGGACTGAACTTTGGAGACAGCTCAGGACTCACGAACTGAACTTCAGTCATCTTAGAATCTTCACTTTTGTCTTTTTTCCCAGACTTTTCGCATGAAAGGCACACCACTCCATCACCCTTTCATCTCCCAGCCTTCTCCTCCTCACTGTCATCCTCTTCTGGCCCCGGCTGCGCTTCAGGCCCCGTGTTGACGTTCGCGGAGAGTTTTCCCGCGCGTGCCTGACGGGCCTGAGCGCCAGCCTTGGCGGCCTTAGTTGTCGGAAGATGTCTGAATGCTTGCCAAGCTGGAGGTAATTACTGATCGGTTGCTCACTTTCTCCAGTCTAAAGCATTCTGGACGGAAATCTTCTTTACAAGGTCTTCCGTGAAGATGTTGCACCAGCTAACCGCCAATGGTGGGAATCCCTACAGAGGTTAAGTGACCTTATAGGACCCTACAGGGGTACCTATAGGATATATAGTTCGGGTTCTTCAACCTCTGCTGGTCTGGAAACCCTATTTTTGTCCATCACGAAGCTCTTGAGCACCGCCTGTCCTTGGTCCTTTGGGTCCCCGCACGGCGTCGCCCGTGCTCCTTGGACCAAACTGGACGCCCTTGGGCGCAGGCTTCTCACCTACGGGTGAGGAGCGTGCTTTGAGAAGCCGATTTTGGCCATCTTGCTGCATGGACCTTATCACTCAAAAGGCTGAAGGCCTGCACCTAGAGGAAGAAGGCTTGAAAGTAGTCGTGTCATGTCATACCTGCACCATCCTGTCTGGGTGTACGGAGATCCCGAGGGGGTAGGCTGGGTAGTCCAGCCAGGACACCTGGTTCCTGGATGGTCCTGGCACCGTACTCAGGGACTCCCATGACCGGTAACCTCCGACCTCCGAACTACCCCTGGTTCTCCGGAAGAGGAGGGCCCCCTGGAGGGCTCAGCCCGCCCCAAAGACCTCGTGACGCCGTGAAGGACGCCCAGGTCGAGTGCCTTTGACTTCATATCGTCTGGGGATATGAGCTGATATGAGCAGCGGACAAGTAGCAATCATTTGCTTCACTGAGGTGCCCCCCCCAGTTTTTCATGGACCCTGCTCAGCTCTCTTTCAGTGGTGACTGGTGACCCAGTATACTTTCTTGCAGGATTTACAGAACAAGGACCTCTAGCCAACGTCGGTGATGCGACTGGTTGCGACTGCCGGCAACACAAGAAACTCAGAACTGAAAAGAATGTTGTGCAGGGTATGTCGGATGTGTGTCTCTTGTGCTACTTGGCTGATGCCGTTCTATGCAAGGATTGTTTGGGAAGCAAGCAGGCCGTGGCAACTGCGGATTGCCGCCGCCTCGCGCTTTCCGCTGTGTGGCATTGTGTGCCGTTGGGCCCACCTTAGCAGTGAGAGGGCGTGAGTATCAAGCAATCAGTCCTTGATCCTCGAGTATAGTGCAATTAGAAAGTGGATAACGCACTACAACATCAATAGAACTAGAACAATTGTCAGATTGGAAAGTCTTGGAGGATTCTCGTTGGGCCGGAATTCCTCCAACACCACCCACCAGTACCTGCTGCTTAGCCGCACTACAGTCTGTTTGTAGAGCAAACCGGTTTTCCAGGGGGCCATGTTCCACGTACATGTTTTTTTTTGGAGGGAGGGTATATACCTACAACCTCACAGACCCTCAGAATTTTGGTTGTTAGGCACATAAGTGCTTTTCCAGTGATGAGAACCTTTTTTGGATTCAGGAGCGTTTCTTGGTTTTCCACAGTTTTCGATCATCCTGTCCATTTTCCTTCGCTCGATTCAGGCCTGTCGCATCAGTCGCCCAAATAGTATGGGCAGCTCGAACTGTATCAACAATCTATCCCAATTCTTTCACCAGATCATGATCAGTCTTTGAGACAGTACAGGCCTCATAGATCCCAACACTCTGGTGAAACACTGGTTTCTGCCAAGTTGATGTCAAGATAACCGTACCTTTACTCTTCTCATGCCTGGTGCCCTCCGGCATCATGGTGAAAGCAATGGCCACCGCTCACGAAGTCTGGCCTCCAAGTGCGCCCGAATGGAGTCGATGGGATTGTACGTGGATGGGTGTTGCGGGGTTCCAGGTGGTGACAGCTGCTACTTAGTTTGGCATGTTGGTTCAGGAATGATTGGTTGGATTGGACTGGCCGTGCGCATGGTTGGTATGATTAGGCTACTTCTTGGCTCAAGCATTCTAACCGCTGGTTCGACGTGCCACGTCAAGATGGGTGAACCTGACTTTAGCAATCCTCCAATGGATCTTTCTCTTGCCGCGGTGCTTGAGGGGGACCAAAGGATCCGCAATAGATTGCGGTCAACAGGTCAGGTGACCCAATGGCTTTCAGACAGTGCAGTTGGGGTCAAAAGTTGCAAAGCGATGGCGCTCAACCATGCTCCTTTGGAGCTGATGGCACTTTGGTGGTGCCCACGGAACCCAGCGGGTGTGACAGCAATCACAATCCCAATGATGCGAAAAGAGGTGTGGATTTGGAACATGTGTTGAAAACCCCATACTTCGGGAAGTCCAGCTAGATTTGATGGGTTCTTTGGTTGTCACCAAGCTATGCCAAACAATGTCCCAATTCTCTCCCCATTGTTGCATCCCTGCAAAGGTGGCAGCATTGAGAGAGACTATGGGGTATACTAGAGACGAGAAGCTTGTGCACTTGGACGCATATGGATTGAAAGTCCTCTTCAACCACGGCATCAGGCGGTTCATGACTACCGCAAAGAATCGGGTGCCCAAATTGAGTTTATTAAGTCTTTGCATGTTTTATTTTGTAAGACTAGCCAAAGCAAAGTGGATCCATGTTTAATCTGCCTTCTCACGACCAGGATCCGACTCTGGGTAAGTTCTACAGCATCTTGAGCCACTACTGGGCTGAGCAGGCTGGTTCCCAGCCTGATGCTGCTGGTCTCAGCGATGGTGATGACGATGGCGGTGATGATCCTGCCCATCCTGGCGCAAGCGCTGCGGCTGCTCCTGCAGCCCCAAACCCTCCAGCTGTGCCCAAGGCTTTCATGCCACCACCGGCTTTGATGCCTCCAGTTGTGCATGTGGACCCACCACATGCTCCTACATCTGCGATGCCTCCACCACCGGCCAATGTTGAAGTTGCAGCCAACGCTGAGATTGCTTCACCTCCTGGTCCTACGGTTGTGACTGAAATGCCTCCACCACCTTTGCCTGCAAGGCTCACACCTGCCGGTGTCCCTTCGCTACCAGAAAGTGGGCACCCAGAGACAATGTCAACAGAGGCGAGTGCCACGAGGGCTGACCTTCTAGCAAGGCTTGAGGCCCTGAAGCTCAGCTTTTTTGATGTGCTGTGCACGGTTGTTTTTTGGTCACCCCTGGCATTCTTGATACGGTATATCCTGAGAAAGCCATGCGTGCCTAGAACTACAAAGCGTGAGGTTATGGCTTAGACAACAATGCAACCTTTGCTTCCCTCCATCCCACATCTCCCAGGAATCGCCTTCACGCCGACTGCCGTGCTCAGCAAGCTGCGCCCAAGGCCAAACCTGGGATCCCCGAGGGTGCTACTGAGGCGCCGTGCACCTTTGCTCCAGTTAGCCAACTAATTTTGACAATGTGGACGAGTTAGGGGGTAAAAGCAAATGATAGTAAATGGTTTTCTTTTCTTAGGTTTCAAAACATATTGAGGCATTGATGCAGTGGAAACCGTTCCCATGGAGATCGATTGGCCCCAGGAAGGCATTGCTCAGGAGCATGATTCACAATTTCCCTTTGGCGCCGATGAGGAGGACATTCCACCAACGCAGCCTGAATTCCAGTACCCCACCCCAGAGAAGCCAAACGAAGAAGAAGGGAAGGGTGAGGTAGCAGGTGGGGAGAAAGCAGAAGAGGCAAAAGAGGCAGGTAAGACCCCTGAAAAAGGTAAGGGGGCAAAGGTGACCCCTGAGGCGCGTGAGGAAGAGGTGGTCCCTGAGGATCTTCCCATGATGACCCGCGAGCAACAGCAAAGCTTCAAGGATGCCAAGTCCAAGGTTGCAAAAATGGATGAGGCCAACTTAGTGCCGGAAAAGAGGAAGCGTTGCCAAGCCCCAGCCCTGAAGCGGCCTGCGGCTTCGAAGGCCTCCAGGTCCAAGAAGGACACTGCAGAGAGGATTGAGGATGAGCCAGACATGGCTATGCCGGTTGAACCTTCTGAGGTCATCGAAGTTGACGGGGGTGAAGGAATTCAGCCTCTAAATCATCAGGCAAGGTTCGAGGAAGCTGCTGAAGAACCTGGCAGTGGTGCCAAAACCACTCCTTCCAACAGGCGTGGCCGTCAACCAAAAGCCAAAGCATCTCCCAAATGCAAGGCTTCTGCCAGACGTGCCAGGGCTGCAAAGACCACTCCAGGTGGAACGGCATCTCCGAAGTTGAGGCGGCCCAGGTCGACCACGCCACACAAGGCCACCCCACCCAAACGCAAGCCCGGCGCCAAGGCCAAGAGCAAGGTTGAGAAGGAGAACCCCCAGAAACCAGGTGACACCAACGAGCCCAAGGGTGATGCTGGGGCTGGGGAAGGAGAGGTGATGGGAAAGAAAACTTTTGCAGGGAGATACTGCCCAAAGGGTGGGGATGCGAAGTTGAGGTGGGATTGCTTGAAGGAGGTCTACGTGGGATCAATCCAACCAAAGGTTGCTTACAGTGTGTCGCTCTTGGAGGTTTGGTTTGGGCTTCCCCCGTGTAGAAGTTGTGCAAACCCAAGTGGTAAGGATCGCTGATTTTTGAAAAGTGGGGTGTCAAACAAACAATGTTTGTTTGTATGATTCTAAACTGGCCCTGGCTGCTGATTCCCATACAGGTCAAGTGGTGGAACTTCGCCTTCCAGAATCTGAAGCAAGACTCCATCCAGACCCTGGAGCAGTACATGGTCCTTGCAAGGGCTCAGGTTCCTAAGTTCCTGAAGCGCGACGATGTCCGTACCTTGTCAATACAATCAGAGTTTCACTTGTTGATGTTTCCCCCAATATCCCTTCAACAGTTGTTTGGGGTAGCGGGGTAGCCCAATAGTCGTGTTTTTCTTTGAACCAGGGCATGCTCAGTCGTTTAGGCGACAAGCTGCTTCAGCTCTGAGCCTGGATGTCTCAAGCCACAGCTGACATGCTTGGCTTTTTGGGGGTGGCATCGATAGCTTCATGGCATATCATTTTGATGCCAAAGTGACTACCGTTCTTAATTTTGCTTGGAGTGGCGGCTTAGATGTTGGGATGCTGGAGGCTCCTCCTGACTGTCCTTCAAACTTCTTTTGAACTAGTTGAAGCATGGTGCAACTTCCTCCCAGTGAATTTGCTTATGACATGTGAACCGTTTCCCTATGGTGCTAGGGGCGATCCCATTCCGACACCGCTGCCATCAAACACTTAGCTGTGTGAACATAGCTTGGATGGGAAGTGAATGGAAAGGGACTCGACATGCGCACGGATTGAAAAAAGGTGTGTTACCCAGCGTGGCCCTATGACGTGTCAAGCAGAGAATTAAATTTCAACATCTCTGATTCTTCACACCGCTCCAGGTACTCCGAAGCCCTATGCCAAGTCGCGGACCACTCTTCCTTGCAAGCAGGGGCATAGGTGCCACCTGCCCGTTTGGAAAGCTGAGAGTGGTTGGTCTGGTTTGTTCACTCACGGTTTGAAACACCCGTTCTAAGGAGTTACAATTTCAATCTGAATAGAATTTGGGCTGATGTCTTCCGAAGCCTTTTTCTAGCAGCAGTGAAGTGAGTTGCAAACCCCACTGGGTGGTCGGATTAGCATTCTGGCCATGCTGCCCGATGAAATGGCCTTGGTTCTTCGCCGTCTAGTGGCCATTGGAGCACCAAAGGACTCTCAGCTTTCAACCTTTGTAGGAGATGAGGACTTAATCAGTCAAGGCTTGTCATGAACTACTGGGCATGTTCTAGCAACTTCTCCAGCAGACCCTAAAAGAAACAAATTTGGGGGGTGTCCTTTTTCCATCGTTCAGAAGACATTTGGAGCCAAAAAAAGGCCACCCCCAAAAAATGCATTTTAGGGTCTGTTGGCTCGTGTTGGCTGAGACATCAAACCTGACAAACAAGAGTTGTTTCCGCCAGCAAAGGATTTCATCCTGGTTGTCCTTCTTTGCAGCTATCTGGTGTGCGGGCCGCTTCAAGCATCAGAACCATGGGAAATGATCGAGTATTTTGCAGGGACTGGAAGGATTTCAAAACTCGCATGCAAAGCAGGGATTGCCTGTGCTTCCTTTGAAATAGTACATGCAGCTGTTCCTCAAAAGAGGAGCGAATCAAAAGCTCATTTCTCGAAACGTTCTCCAATGGATTTCAATGGTGAATGTGGATTTGCGTTGCTTGATGCAAGCGTTGATGGTCTTTTTGTCTACTTTGCTTCAGTCCTTCACTTTTTCTAATCTCGCCCAGGCGCCCACCCTTCCAGGATTCCATGTCAGCTACCCTGCCTCGTTCCCAAGGCTATCGGTGATCCTCCTGTTGCAGGCTGCGTTCCAACAGGTGGTGGTGGTGCTGGCCCCACCCTGCTCGACTTGGGTGGCCATCAATGCGGGCACCAGTAAACGAACCATCTTGTGTCCAGGTGGTGACCCGACACGCTTGCAAAACCGTAAGAGCAACAAACTTGCTACAAGGACAGGGTTGTCAAATTTCACTTGAAAAACAGTAGGTAGGGTGTACTGACTGATACATGGATGCCTTTTAGACATGTCTTGTGCCCCTGAAGGTTGGGACAATTGTTGCTTCTGGTGGCATGCATGGATGGTCACTTTCTAGTGGAGCAACCCGGGTCCTCTCTGTTCTTCCATTACATTTACATCAAGGAAGCTTTCAACATGTTGAGACAAGCCGGGTTGAAAGCCCCTTGAATTGGTGATTAACGGTTAACGCAAAAAGAAACATAGCCTTTTTGGTGATGTTGCTGTCCACGCAGAGGGGTATAAGTGGACCTGACCAACCCCAAATGCTTTGCTGGGAATCCGGACCTAGTGTCTTTTGGTCACCCCACTGCCAAGCAGCTGTCTCTTCGCTGTTCCCTTCAACCCAGGTTTTCAAGGAAGCTTTCTGGATGAGGCTTTGGGGTGGCACATCTCCAAAGAGGAGCGTGGTCTTCAGCAATGGACTTGCAGTCAATAAGCTTTGGACTGGGAGACTTTGCAAGCGGAAGAACCCCTCCAGTGTCAAAACAACTGAACGATATGTAGATGGTTCTGGCAAAGCGCGCTTTCATGGGACATCAGAGCTAAAAGGGACTCAGTCACTGGGATGGTTTCTAACGTTTTGGTGTTGGTACCATTTGGCATTCACTACACTGGTAGGATCAGAAACAGGCGACTAGCGGGAACAATCAGAATCAGTTCATTTAACATTCAACAGTTTCTGGGTGTGGTCGAAGTAAGGTCCTATCCTGCGCCATTTGCCCGTCGAGTGATCGAAGCTGCTAAAGCAATGCAGAATGAACCCAGCCGCTGGTGTTTGCTGGAACCTCTACTCAAGTGTAGTGTATAGTCATTTGTATCTTGTTTTTCTTGTAACGTCTGCAAACGAAGGCACTATATAGAAGAACAACATAACTAATTGGCGTGCATCACCATCCAATCACCGTTTCTAAAAACGAAGGCCAGTACATAATCGTGGCCGCCCAGGTGGACACCACCATGCCCGTGCACACGCTGATTGCAGCTGCACCGTGCACCTCGTGGGGGCCAGCTGAGTTGGCTCCAGTGGTGCAATACCTCAGGGGTGTCAAGCAGCTTCGGTTGCCGGCGGAAGTCCGGGCAATCTTCCCTGACATGATTGGTGAGGGAACTGACCCTGTACAAAGCCGAATGGTATTTTGAAGGGCTGTGGAGGGACATGTATGGTCAGAAGACAACTCACCTCAAAAATATGCAAAAAAAACAGCGGCGCTTTTTGCCGGCCAAACGGCGCTCTTTACCGGCCAAACGGCGCTTTTTGCCGACCGCGTATTTTCAAGTGGTTTTGTTGATGTTGGGATCGCAACTGCAGCCCTTTGGAAGGCCTTGGTGTAGCCTTGGTAATTCACTTTGCTGAGCCTTGTGTCAAGTAGTCACTGGGCTTGAGGTTTAATTGGTAGGATGCAGACCTGAAGATACGTGCAAACAAACGTTTTGTCAGCTGCACTAGGCTGGCACCAATGCTTCATGGGAAGTTCTTTTGGGGGTTGATTCGTTGGTGTGGGAATGAATCAATCGTACACTAGTCCACTGTTATGTTGTGACAATGTGTTGGCGTCTCATTTCCTGAAGCCGTTTTAGTGTGGAAGCGTGGAAAGGCCATTGAGGACAATGGTGCCCCTGTTGAGTCAAAGTTGGTCCTGCTCATCTCTCATGGCAGGGAATGACTTGGTTCAGAAACACTACAAACAACTACAGGCAAGTAGCCTCAGTGAAGAAGACATGAAGAAACAGCTGGCAGTTCCCTGTATGTGATTTGAATTACTGTCCGAAACTTTGTGTTGATTGTTGTTTCGAAAATGATTATACCCATCAAACATTATAAGGGTTTGTCGGTTTGTCCCATTACAATCAGTAAACAAAACTATAACTATTTTTGAACAAGGCCTTTACTAACCATCATCATCCACTGATAGGATGGACCCAAATTATATCCATTTGGGTTGGAACAATACGGTATCCAAAACCATTCCCAATCCCAGGCGCTCGAAGCACAGATTGCCGAAGCCGAGACTATCCCTGGTGATCTAATGGCAGTGGCTTCTCCTCAGCAGGCATTCCAGGCCTTGGCAAGGCCACGCGGTTCTCCAACCACAAGTCCAGCAGCATCTCTGGGGCAGGGTTGGGGTGATAGTGATGAGGAATGGATTGCAAACCGGGCTGGTTCCAAGGGTGGCATGGCTGCTGCTTCATTAGCCAAACCATCTTCAGGTCCTGCCCACGAAGAACGCAGCAGTCCTCTTCCCTCAACAGTGGCTGATACTCCGGGAGTATCAGATTCATTGACACCAGGCCAAGGAAAGCAGTGCCGTGACATGTCCCCCACTTCTTGCAATGATGGAAGCCAACGTGAACAGCCAGTTATTCCAGAGTTTCAGCCTGAGCCATTTAAGGATGAGGCGATGATCCCAGACATTCACGATGCTTTCGCCCCGAAACCCCGGGTTGGAGAACATCATCTGTCCCCGGAAGCTATCCGCAGTAGAGCCAAAAGAATCTTCACCCCCCGAGCTGATGGGTCCAAGAAAGTTTCAGATGAGATCTGGAACGATTGGAAGGGCAAAGGGAAGGCCCGTCGGCTACTTGAAGATATTTTCCGGCAATGCGGATACGATCCCGAAACATGTCTAAACACAGTAATTGTTTCTTTGCTTTACCTGGATTTGGTTGTAAAAGGGTGGGAGCCTAAAACCTATGATTTCAAACATTACCTGGCAGGCCCTATCAATTCCGGGTTCTTCGCTAAGTACCTTGCATGGACGGCTGAGGAAACCTTTGTCTGTGAGGTGGAAATCCTGAAGAGCGAAATGACCGAGTGTGAAGTTGTGGTCGAGGGGCAGTTCGTCTCCGAAGCCGCCATGGTTTACCTTTTTGCTTGGAATATGGCTCTGAAACGGTTCCCCACAACCAGGTTCCTAAACAAGTCTTGCTCACATGAGGCAGCGGATTGAAGCGATCAAGAAGCACTGCCGCTCGCAGCCACACAAGTTGCTGAGGCGCCCGGCAGAGTTTCTTCAAAAGTCTTTCTGCTTGCGCCTGAAAGTGACGTGACTTTATGCTTTTTCAATCTCATCCAACTTGATTTCACAGCAACCTTTCCATTGCAGGAGGGACACCTACCAAAAGGTCACTCTCTACTATGTAGAGACGGCAGTGAAGGGAACCTACAAGTATCTCGCCTGATGATGTCTTTTGATGGCATCTTGCTTCACAAAGTTTTCAGAGTTGATGAGTGGATCCTAGCTTAGGCAGCGATCCCGGGTTGAGATCAAGAAGCGAGCTCGTGTCCATGAGAGGGGCATTGGGAATATGTCCCTGGAACCTGAGGGCCTTACGGGTGGTGCTTCAGGCACTGCCGAAGCTGGAGCAGGCCAATGACTAGGGCTTTTCTGGCGCACCAAAAGATCAATATACGCGATGGTTGGGGGCGATGTTTTGGGGTCCAACCAAATTAAAGTGATCACTTATAGAGAAAATACAATGTGCACAGACAAAGTACAAGTCCAGAGACAAAAACTGTTGAGCTTATAAATCCGGATTGCCACCAACCTGAAAGGATAGGAATCACCGATCAAAGGACAGAAGGCACACGCTCTAATCCCTCTAGTGACGCTGGTGTACCTGACCAAAGCTTGGAGGGAGTCAAGTTATTGATGGTTACCTAGAGGAGGCAACAGCGCACTGTGCTTCAGGTGGTGCCGAGGATCTCACCAAATCTGATGATGAGGAGGGCGACCAAGAGGCCAAGCTGAGGAAAAAACTAGGAATTCCTGAGATGGACCCGGATGCTTTGCCCAGTAGTTTGATCGACAAGTACCTGACACTTGCCATTGCTTGTATGAGGGCAGGTCGCAAACACAAACGGGTCAAAATGGTTGGGTACACTCACTATTGCTCGCTGCCCCCTTGCCCACGATGCCAAGGAATGCCATTGCCAAACGCATGGGTCAAGTAGCGAAATCCAAGACCAAGTTTGCGGAGGTGAAAGATCTCACTGATGTCCAGAAGCGGTTTTCGGCATGCACACTGAGTGTCTACCAAGCAAACCACATACAAACGTCTCTTCCCATTGGACTTCCCATACCCATGGATCACCTGTGCTGAGGCTCAGCGCAGCTCTTCAAGCTTCTGTGACCTCGCTGGAGGAGGTGCATCAGGAACTCGCCACGGCTTACTCAAATGGTGTTGTCCAGGGCTTCAAAAAAGAGTTTCTTGGATCAACATTTTGCAAAGCAACCTTGCAAGTGCTTTACAAAGAAGTGCTGTACCATTGCTTTGTTGACCCTTCAGGGAAGAAAATTCCTTGAAATCCTTGATTCAGAAAGCGTCTGGAAGGCCCAACTTGGTGATCGAATGCAATGAGTTTTGACTTTTGGATATTCAATCTCACAAGTCCAGAATTCAATTTGGGATCTGGGATCTTGCGTCAGGGCAGCGGAATCATTGGCCCTCGAATCCAGAGCAAGGCGACCCATAAAGCAAAAGAAACATGAGTTGCAGTGCACTGCTCAAGTATTGGTATTGCATGGTACTGCATTAATCTCAACTATTAAGTTATAGTCTGTGGGTCACCCGCCGGCCAGGCCATTCATTCCAAAGGCAGTGCGTGCTGAGCAGAAGGCAAAAGCTGCGCCCAAACGGGCACCAAAGGAAGCCAAGGCTAAAGCCAAGGGGAAGGCGAAACAGGAGGAAAAGACTCCACCTCCCAAGAGGCAACGAAAGTAGATTTTCAATCTTCTACTTTCTGCCCATGACCTGGATCTCTCCACGCTGGAACCAAGCGTGACGCTTTCCATTGGGTTTTGGCGAAAGTCAATTTGTTAGAAGCTGCTTTAGGGGTATGGACCTTAGCCGCCCAAATCTTCAGCCATCGAACCAGTGATTCTTCAAAACCTTGCTGCGTTATGGAATCTTGTTGTTTCTGTTCAATGGGAGGTGGCATGGGGTCGCGATGCACATCGTGCATCATGACAAGTGGCACTTGGGGCAAAAAGTTTGTTTCAGTTTTTGGACCTATGCGTTGGAATGTGGTTCAACTTTGATTTTTCTTTTGGAGCCGTCCAGTGGCAACTTACAACATCTATCCCTTTCACCTTCGTGATTGATAAGCATGCCAGGTGTCAACGCCAATGAACAACCTGGCCCCGGTGCTTCCGCCTACAACTATGTGGAAGTTCTAGCTGATGGGGTTCTGACCTCAAGTCATGATTTCCACCATCCCACATTCCAGTATAGACCTACTGCACATTGAAACTCTCTTGCCTCCTTCAAACATGAGACAACCTTACTGTACCAGTCCTCCGCAGAACATCCAACGGCTGTTGAGGCTCCTGCGGCAACGCTCCATCACTTTGCCACGACGGCAAGGGTGGAGGCAGAACCAGGCCTCAGTGGTGAACGCTCCAAAAAAAATGCGAGCCGTGATGCTCATGCTTTTATAAAGAAATGGGGGTTGGCGTGGAAGGTGCCTTTGAGCTTTGTCGATGTGGAGATTGATGGTGAGCAGGTGAAGTATGCGTTCATCAAACCATCCGACTTTTTGAAATTTCTGATTTCAAAGGCACCGGAACTTTTGATGGGAGGTTGCCCTCTAGATGATGGCCAGCGTCAACTTGAATCGTTCTGGAGGGCGTACTACCACACTCATCCCACCCACAGGCTGTTCAAAGAGTCGCACCCTGAACGAACATTATCAAACACATTTGCTTTAGCAATCCATGGTGATGAGGGTCGTGGGCTTCGAAAATCGAACACAACCCTGCTTATGTTCGAGACGGTCTTGGGTCTTGGAACGTGGTCCAATGTGGTCAACAACAAGCATGCTTCAGCCTGTGGTCGCTGCAGCGCTGATGAGCCATTCAGGAAAAGAATGCGGTTTGATGACAGTGGGCAGGGTTCAGCCACTGATCCTGCTGGATTTCAAATGACAAATTTGAAGGAACACTGCTTCCTTACCAAATTTGTGGTTGCAGCTTTGCCCAGAAAAGAACCGGCTTTGCTAGATGCTATCTTGCTTGCAACGGTACAGGACTTTAATGACCTGTTCACTGGTGGCATTACAGTTGACGGGCGCCAGTGGTATGCTGCATGTACTGGGGCGAAGGGAGACCTCAAGTGGGTTCAAAAGCTGGGGCAGCTACAGCGTTGTTTTGGTTCGCAGACCTCAATCCATAAAGAAATGTGCCACGAATGCTGTGCTGGCACTGCTGCCATGCCATTCGAGGATTCCAGTCACTACCCACTGTGGGAGAGGACATCCTACACAAAACGACCGTATACTGTTCGGCCAGTGCTGCTTCATGTCCCTTTTGAGCATCAACCTCCCAATGATGTTGATGTTGTGGATGTCCCCCATGAGCGTTTCTTGAGGCGGGACCTCTTTCACAACACTAAGCAAGGTGTCTTTAGATACTTTGCAGCTTCGTGCATCCTGTTGTTGGCAAAGTTGCACTACTTTGACCTCAGTGGGCAAAGCAATGCCCGGGACACTTTGTTGAACCGGGCTTACTCACACTTCAGGCTGTTCTGCGAGACAACAAGGCGTATTCCAGCGTTGAGGAGTTTTTCATTGTCTTTCTTCAACAGCCCCACCTGGAACTCTTTTGGGTGGATCAACTGCAAGGGCAGTGACACGGCCCATGTGCTAGCATGGATCCATACTATGTTGGTCGGCTTTGTGAATGCACCTTTGAAAGCTGAACATTTGCCAGTTCTCAAACAAATGATGGCTGCAGCCTCAGCAGCTCGAGAGTTTCAACGAGTTTGCTACAGCCACAACCTGTGGCTCAACAAAGAGTGTGGTGCGTACCTGTACAAACAGATGCATTTGTTTGTTCGACACTATAACGGATGTGCCTTTTTATCGCAGCACCAATGCCAGTACACGGGGTTTGCGCTGACAGCCAAGTTCCACCTTTTGTGTCATGAAAAGGTGGAGATCCGTTACTTGCTTCAAGACAAAAATGTGGTGTGGGTTCGAAACCCCCAAATGTATGGATGTGAAAGCAACGAAGACATTGTAGGTCGTCTCAGCAGGCTGCTGAGAAGAGTTTCGGCACGAAGGGCATCTTCAAGAGCACTGGAGCTCTATCTAGTAAAGTCGAAAGCGCTTCATAGAAGATGGAAAGCAAAACAGCCAAAGAAAACTCCGGTAACAACACTTGAGGCACCGGACATGATGGTCATTGAGTGATCGTCCATGACCGCTGTAAAAAGGAGCGTGGGAAGTGTGGGCTGTTTGTTTGCTGACTTGATGTTGCAACCCTTCAAGGTTCTGAAGAACCATGACTTGATCTGTCAATGTCTATGTTGCTTGTACCTCTTCTATGTTGAGGCCATGTTTTGTGTATCCTTGAGCCAGGGGGCATCTCACAAGTGCCTGAATGATGAAACGACATTTTTTTGAGACAACGGCAGTTTCATTTTGAAACGCCAATTATTTCTGCTCTTTCGGAAACGCCTAAAATTTTGAGCAACTCGAGGATCTAGGTATAAGCTAGAAGCTATTAGTAACTTTGCGTTTCTGTCTCCATCACCCACCTCCACATCCATCCGAGTGCCCCCGGCGTTTCGGATGGGTTTCTGCTTGCCAAAGGACCTTGCGATAGCAGCGTGGCCCACGTACGCGGTAGAAAGATACATAAAAAACCACTGAGGCAAACCAGATCCTTGATCGGTACTGAAGGATCGCGTGAAGCATCTGAAATCAGTTCACCAAGTCTAACAGCCAATAGCTGCGATCCTTGTGGTCATGGAGATTGGCCCCCCAACCGGAACTCAACTCAGAACCACAGAAAGAACGGTTTTCACCGCTGGGTGCTTCATCTGCGCTGGGTGCTTCATCTGCGCTCGGTCCGGGTTCAAACACGGGAGTTGAACTCGAGACACCCTACAGAATCTACAGAGGTAGCCAGTGACCTGAACTAGGACCCGTAACCTGGGGTACAGAACTAGGATAGTCGAACGTTCGGGTTCTGACCCACCTCTGCTGGTCTGAAAACCCGTCACAAGACCTCAAGCTCAGGGCTGGTTCGGGGCGCTTCGCTACTCTGGGTGTGTCAAGGCTGAAGGTGACTCTCTTTTGGACGCACTACTTCCTTTTGAAATCACTCTATGTGTCCCATCTATCCACCCAATCCATCCCAATCCCAACAAGATCCTGCAACATCTCCGCCAAAACCAACGTCAAGAATCCATTATTATCGTTACGAATATGTTAGAGCTTGCATGCCTTTGATTCCCTTTGAACTCTGCTTTTTTCATGACAATGCCAAATGCACAATGCAAGAAACATTCCTCAAAGAAACGCACACAAGGGCTAAATACCTTCATGAGCCATAGACCTCCTCTTAACTCGTGAAGGTCGAGAATAAAACAAACGACAGCCAAGATGGTTCCCATCAAAAGGTGGAACAATCTGGTTTGTCTCCTGTGTACCCTCAAAGAACGCACTGCACCCAGAAGCCTGTCTGTTAACATCTCCTACATTCTTTTCTGGGTGCTTCAGATCCTCATCAAATCCTGCTGCTCCAGAGGGCCTCTCACCGATTTTCCCCCAACCGAGACGACAGGCGACACTCGGCCGACCTCGGTGCCCCCCGTTTTGGAGACGACCAAGCGATGGCAAGGTGCAAGGGCATGTTGAAGCCTTTGAGCTCGCTCATCTCCTCCACTGCCATCTCTTGATCCGAGTCCTCTCCTGAGGCACCTGCCAAAAGATTGGACAGATTTCCAGGAGCTACTAGTAGCTTCTTGATGGTTTTGTGGCATAGAGGTTGGGCAACTTGGGCACATGCCATTTCCAGGGCCCAAAGGATGATAATGGTTTAGGTAGGGTCTTAGTCTTAGGGGCCACAGACTCCCCCGGGTGTCTGTAGGGTCCCGTCCTTTCGGCCCACCTGCGATTGGACCCGTCCGTGGACCGGCGCTGCTCGGCGCGTCCTGGCGGAGGGCGAGTGCTGACACGCTGATGGGAGCCGAGGCATCGGGGACCCCCAGCATGTTCGACTTGTCAATGGTTTTCACGGAGTGACTCACAGGAAACTAGGCTTTGGACTCCCCAGGAACCAATCCCAAACACGACCAATGGGACTGCCATATATATGCCGATCAATTGACCCCTCTGGCACCACCCCTGGCCGTTTTGAAGGCAGTCGTGTGGCAGTCCCATGTGTCGTGTCTGGGAATGGCTGTAGATCTTCCCTTCCTGTTGCAATGACCTGGGTCTGGGACATCTGGCGCCGATCTTTTGTCCGATGGCGTTTCTCCAAGAATCGATCGAAGTAGATCACCGGTTTCGTCGATCGCCGGTCGTCCTCCGATGTTTCTCGCTGTCTCCGGTCCCCCCCCAATGGTACTGGCACCACTTCATGTAGACCCTTGATTAGTATAAATCCCCCATATGAAGAGGAATTCCAATTCAATTGGAGGGAAGTATTAATCAAGAGTCTACATTACAAACCCTAGGGCTCCAAGTACTTCCTCAGAAGGTGTTTGGGGTGGGTTCTGAGGGTCCAAATACCTTATGAGGAGGTACTTGGAGCCCTAGGGAAACTGATCTCCCTCCAACTCTCGGTCTCTGCCCTTGTCCAACTCCTCCTTCGGCGCTGGAGGCGGCTTCCGATTGCTGCCCGTGTACCTCTTCTCGGCAGTTCGAAGGTCAAATCTTCTTGTTTGAGGGATTTACGCTGGGCATTTTCTGCCACACAATGTAGGTCGATGCGGTGGCGGGGCGATTGTTTGTCAAAACGATGGCTCAAAACACAGTACGTTTCCTGCGGCACTAGCATGGCCCATTCTGACACAGGGGGGCGTCTTTGCATCCCCAGAACTTCCCAAAATTGCAATGACACATTCTACCCAGCCTGGAAGTCACAACCTTCCACAACCCATAAGGATAATATGAGTCATTTGAACTCCCAGGGATCATAATCTATAGGATCTAGGATCATTACACCTGTAAAGAGCTTCTAGCTACTAGTAGCAATGCACCTGCATGTTCCTAATAACCATGCACTTGTTACTAGTAGAATGCCTTCGTAGTCTCACACAAAATCACCACACCTTCCAAGAAGTGGCCACTCATCCAGCCACATGTGCCCAGCTTCCACCTCGTCCACACCTCCCCCGGCTCACCAGGCTCCAAACCGATAAAACCCCCGGCACCGAGTAACGACCGGTCGAGGTCGAGGTGACGTCGGTGGGGGGGCACCGGTTGGAGGAGCGCATCGCGCGCATCTCTTCTTCATCGGAATCCATCGCGGCCGCGCCCGGCGGTGGATCAGAACGACGGGTTTTGCGCCGGTCACGGTCGACGGTCGTGAGAATGAAGCCGGTCTTGGAAGGAACAGCTCTTATGTCTTTAGGTTTTTTGGGGGCCTGGTAGACCGGTCAGACTCAGACAAAATATACAAAATGGAGTGTCTGGTCAGTTTCGGTGCTGCTTTGGGCTGATCCGAGGCGATTTGGCCAAGTTTTGCTCGTTTGGCTTCTGCTTGGTTGAGGCGATGTTCGGACGGGTGCTGTTCCATCTGGGGAGTCTTTGATTAGGCTGAGTGAATCTGGGTAACATGCCTTGAAGGGAAGTGATAACTGATAACATGGCTTTTTTGGGCGGGAATGTTCCTATCGATTGCCGTGTCTTTCCCTTTGACAAGTTTAAGTAGGGAATTTAGTGATCACAAAATAATATCAAGTATTAAAAAATTTTTTCCAGCTAATCAGGGTTCAGGATTGTAACCAGGGTTCAGGATTTGAAAGCAACTTGGAAGATAATAGTATTAGCAAAAGCAGCAGCAGTAGCAGCAGCAGTAGTGGACCAACATATATGTCAGTGCATATTGTGGTAGTAATATGACATGTGCTAGCATTTCGCTTGCAGCTCCGGAGCCGTGTTCTTGGTCAAAACATTGTGATGCCCCTGGCACCAGTGGATTCTTTAAGCGAGTTTGGCTCTCAATATCTGTGTATGTGTGCAAGACTGGGTTGCTCAATGACTCAATGATGTTGTTTTGTGGACAAATCTCTTTCTGCCGATATGTGCCCAGTTGTGAGATGGAGAAGCCGCTGCTGGAAGGCATGTCCCGCGGTACTCCTGGACATGGGCATTGTGCAAACGGTGTGGTGAGCTCTTGGAAGCCATGCTGTTTTCCCCAAAGCCCGAGAACCAAGCTAGACTTGGAACTGGTATCCCGGCTTGAACCTGCAACTGGTTTGAGACAACTTGCACACACACACACACATGTAAGTAGTATTAAGTAGTAACACAAATTGGCAGCATTAACAGCACAAACCAACATACAAAGCAACACGCCTGTGCTCAATTTTTGTTCAACACCGACAGACTCATGCAGCATCAGCCAATACTCCAGCACTCCAACCACCCAACCCAACAAACAAACAAACAAACAACCAAGCAAGCAACTTGCGCGGCAGCGACAACTTTGGAAAACATTTTGCAGGTGGGGCAGCACGCTTAATGGAGCCATTGTGGCCCAGGTTCCACCAAAGAAGGCAAAGGAGGAAGACGCGGGAGTCAAGCTGATCAAGGGCAAAGTGACACTTCAATCACTGGGTTGCTTGAGTTGGGGCCTGAGCTGAACATGTCATGATAGCACTCATGATAGCAATTTACTTTTTGGCGCACGTTGAGGATGCTTTTCAGCGACGTACACTGCCAACAGTGCCTACTTATCAGTCAGGGGGAAGCAGGACAAATGAAACTGTGTTTTTCTTGGATTTGAATCCACTGTTGGTTGTGGCAGGATCTAGCGACGCAAATATGGCACAGCAAACCATATACCCTTTCTTGCAAGCAAATGAACCAGAAGAAGGGCAAGTACCTGGCTCTTCCGTTTGCCGAACATTTATCAGGCAGCTGTTTTGTAGTGCAACACCTGGTGGCAAGCTGTTTGCTTGCAGGCCTACCAGAGGGTTGGAGCTCACCAGACGCCTTGGTCACTCAAAAGCAGGTATCCCGTGTGTGCCCTTGGGTGGACAAGCCTGTCACTCTCTTAGACTTTCAGCAAGCAAAACAACTCACATGTTATGTTTGCTCATCAACAGTCATGGGTTGTTCAGCAAGTTTGTTGTTCCTTGACTTGGAGTACTTGCAGATACTTGTGGTTTGGAGCATGAGGTCGCTAAGCACAAATGCATGAGCTTTTTCAGCGGCATTTGCGGCCTAGAGCTGGGCCTCTCTGCGTTCGGGGCTCAATGTTGTTACTGTATGTTTATTTCATAGAATAAGATATTGGTGTGAAATGAACAGTGACGCCAAACATTTTATTGTGGTGAATCATGAAGTCTATATTTTTTGAGGTTTGTTGTGCCACAATGTTATGTTGGGCCCTCAGGTTAGCACACCTTCTTGGCTACCATTATGTAAACGTTGAGCCAACTTGTCAATTTTATGTTACATTAAGACATTTAAGACAGCCCCCAGGTCGAGTGCAACAGCTTCTGTCGCTCAGTCATCAGCAAGCGGATTGAGCAAGGGCTTATCCACCCAGCACCTATCTATGAGGATCTGACCACCTTTAAACCAACAGCCTCCATGAGAAAGGCCAGCACAGGAATCTGTGCTGGTTTCCCCTGCCAAGACACTTGGACTTGCTTTGTAAAACAACAATCTACATAATAGCAATGAACAAGAATCTAGACAAATTTGCGTGCGCTGTTTTGCAAACTCAGGGCATTTGCAAAGCAGGGCTCCAGGAAGGATTGAACGACGCAAGATCCGGCCTGGTGCGGTGTGTATGGCAGCAGGTTGACATGCTCGAGAATCCGTTCACAGCATGCAAGCAGTGGGTGTGGTTCAACATGGTTCAACTGTTACTTAACTTTTTGGGTTGAAAGATGAGCCCAGGTTGTGGTTATGGCTGGAGAATGTGCATCATCTCCTGTCAGCAGACATGCAACCTTTCATGGAGCACATTTTGCAGGATACATTGATGGTCAGCATAGATAGTTTTTTTATCACAACAAACAACAAACAAACAAACAAAGCAATAACAACACGGTCCATCGCGCCGGCAGGAATTGACCAGCAGAGGCTTTGTGGTGCGTTGGTTGAGTGTCACTGGACACAACGTGGGCGCACCAGTTGGGCACTCAGTCAACTCATCATCGCAACTCTAAACATACATGGGTGACCAAGGTTTGGCGCAAGAGGGTGTTCATCTTAGCTACCAAGCCCAACTTTGTCTTCGGCAAGGTTTGTGTGAATGTTTGTTTTGGTGACAGTCATGGTTTGAGCTTTGATGGCTTGTTGTGCCTATGTCTAGGTGTTGGTGTGTGTGTGTGTGCGTTCTGGGCAGGTACCTTCCAATTTGATGACTGTGGAAGAGCTGCGGGAGTACCCCACCAAACCGTGGGGCCCTCAAACGGCACCAAAGGTGCATGCATGGCTGCAACACGAGCTGGTGGAGGATGAGCGACTGCGCCTCACTGCGCTCGGCAACATCGTCATGCCAGCTGTAGCTAACTTTGCTGCCCACGTGTTGTGTCTGGCTGATTCCGGCTAGATTTTGACAGCTTTCAGTTCTTAATTTGATCAAGCCCGTTCATCATGCTTGCAAGATTGGAATTTGATGTTAATTAGTGAACGTGGCCCATCAGTCCAGAAAGCGGTGGTAGCCTCAGCTGGAAAGAGAAAATTGTTGAGTGACAGCGCAACAAGCGTTCTTTGAGCAAACACGGAATGAGTTTTGAGTTGTATCACATGCATGGCATGGTTGCAACACATGAGCTTCCTTCTAATGTCTTTTGGTAGCTCTTGTATGCAGTGTGGCCTGATTAGCATTTTGCTTCCAATCTCTTGGCCGCGGTGGCAAAGTGCCATTTGGTAAGCCTGGCTTGTTTGTTATTCTTACTTCTCACCCGGCTTCTTGCAACAATGTTGGCATGTTACTTGACGTTTGCTGTGTTGGACCGTTGCCTTTTGAGTGTTCGCTCGCGTCGCCAAATCTGATTGATCGCTGACCCGTGTCAGGGCCCTGGATCACAACACTGAAACAAAGCCTTCAAATCTGTGTGCAACACTGACTGGAATCATCAAACACACATGGTGGCAGTTGAGCAGTGACAACACAACTGGCAAGTCCATGATGTTGTTGTTGATGTTGAAATGCGGCCTAGGATTCTCCAAGATGGCCAGCCAGCAATGCCCAGTGGAGAACTCGCCCGTGAATGCCTCAGCCCATCTCAGCAGTGTTGAGTCTTACCGCAGGGTTTGGTTGATGCAACGTTTGATGGTCAACATGAACTGGAAGTTCAAGAAAACATGTGTCAGTGTTTTGGCATGTTGTTAGGTGTGGCTGGCTCAAAAACGGGACTATATAGGAGGGTGCCATAATCTAACAAGCCATGGTGACCAAATGCACAAACAAAATGAAGTCCGCCAGTGATTTGTATGCTGTGGTGGAAGAGCGCCGCCGAGAGCTTGAAGTAGCACAGAAGCGGTATGAAGATGCAGCCGCTGAGTATGTGCAGCAAGCACAGGCGGAGGCTTGGGCTGCTGAACTGACAGCGCAATTTGAAGAATCGAAGCAAGAACCGAAAGAAGAAGAAGAAGAAGAAGAAGAAGAAGAAAAAGAAGAGAATGTGTCAACGCAAGATGTTACACTGCCACCGCCGCCTATGAAGAATGAGCCAGCAGAACATGAACAGGCGGCAAGGAGAAAAAAAGTGCCAGCACCAAAGCCTATGCCAGCGTCGCTGCAACCTATGAATGAACAAGATCAAGAGGTGGCAGAGGAAGAGTCAACAGAAAAGCATATGCCAGAGACTATGCCAGCACCAGCGCCATGTCCGCCTATGAACACGCCTGCCAAAGATGACTCCAAAGATGCTGCTGCCACATCAACACAGAAAACAGTGGAAAAATTGGCGAAAGCAGCTCGGCGTGCTGACGCGCGCAAACAAATCTCAGAAGCAGGTCTTCCTCAGCCGCCTCCAGTGCCAGAGGAGAAAGCGCCTTCGCCAACTTGCCCTATGACCTGCGACTGTGGGCAACCATGTACCCGTATCGAACGCATGATCCGCCATGGCACGCGCAACTTTTTGAAACACAGGCACCACAAGTGTGACCGTTGCCAGGATAGCTGGAAACACGGAGGGAATAGAGCCTCCGCCTCCTACAGGTAGTGTGTGTTGTGCTCCTAGCCAAGATGTGTCCAATCTTGAGCTACTGCTATATACTTCACAGCGGCAAGTCAATGCATAAAAGTCTTTGCTGATCAACGCGTGGTACTTGAATCCTATAACATGTTCTGCTGAACTCTTCAAGTGCACTCACCCCTGAGCCCTTCACATCGCGCTGGCCGAGGACTCCTTCTGGCGGCTGGAGAAGGCTGTCCTCTCAGCAGAGTTCTTGAACTTCAACATGTCATGTGTTTTGTTTTGTTGACAGGATCCTGATCACCCATACATCAAAAGCATTGACGCGGCTATTGAGTGTCATGACTGAACTGCAAGTGGGTACACAGCATTCAACATGTGGTTCTGGTTGGCTACTTGTGATAAACACCATGTATCCATGTGTGTTGCTGAGGCGCAAGCGTGCTTTGGAGGTGGGGAGCCCTTGTTTCATTGCCATTGTAGCTAATTGGCATTTCATGGTTGAAATTAGGCAAGTCCCTGTGCTGGGCAACTTTGTGTGTTCGGTATTGAAGGAAAATGATGAAGTGCAACAAGAACGATTGGTTTTGGTCTTAGAGCTTCATGTCAATGGAAGTCAGTTCAGCTTTCGCCCAATTATGTTGATAGAATGTTCACTTAGATCAAGCGGGCAAAAATGGCAAAGCTGCAAGCAGCTCAATCCAAAGCGTGTTTGAACAAGGCCATATTACATTTGTTGGTTACATTGCTACCAGCGCATTCTGCCGGTCAGGTTTGGGCAATGCTTCAAGAGAGCGAGCTAGAGGAGTCCAGCTCCATTCACATTGTGTACAGATTGGCAGCCATGACCTCAAGCTTAACCAGTCGTTGGGACCGGATGTGTTGAGGATAATTAGACTGGAAATTCAATTAACCATTGTGCCAGCATGTTCTTTTAGCAAGCAAGGCCGTGGTGGAAAAGGTTGCACATTATCTTGATCGCGTGCTTCATGTCAAACAGTTGGTGCCATGATCAACCCGTTTGAAATCACGTGAGATGTAATGAGTTGGGCTTGCCAACCTCATGCATTGTTTTGTAGCCACTTTGTAGCAGTCATGTTGCAACCAGTCACGGACCTTTCTGACGACGATGGTGATCACACTACACCAGCCCGTGTACCGTTGCAACGTTGTGGAAGTGAGCTCAGTGCAGACAAGCATGAACCACCTTGCAAGAGATTGAAGCTTTCAGGAGTTGGTACCCGTCCGAAAGATGAGTTCCTTTCTACCCTTGCAGCCAAGACCCGTGCTACCGTTCAGAGCGTTTGCCGTTGTGGACTGGCTTCAAAAGCCAGCAACTGCTTCAGACCCTTCCGAGAGCGCGATGACTTTGAACGCCTTGTGGCTCACATTCGACGGATGAGAAAAATAGACAAAATGGAATTTGACAAGGAGGCCAGGCATTGCAGGTTGCTGTGGTTCGCAGGAAACATTGTTGGACTAATGTTTGACACATGAACTTGGCATGGTTGCTTTGCTCAGTCAGGTGTCACCAGTAAAATGTTGAATGTTTGATTCATGAATGACAGGTCTTTGCAGACCTGCAAGCAGCACACCGGGGGCATCGTGCAGACACTTTGCAAGTCCTGGGTTATCCCGTGTGTCAGCAGGCTTACAAAAGATTACTGCGATTGGGTTCAGACAGGTTCACTCGTCTTAGTACAGCCGTGAGAAATGGAGACATAGATTGCCCATTGGATTTACGCTACTCAACTCGCGAGTTCACTGCTTGGACGGACAAGAGGCAAATAGTTCATGACTTTCTACATGAACTTCACACGACACTCGCCGAGCCTATGCCGGAGTCGAGGTGCTGCTCAAAGCGGCCACGACTCATCAAGAAGCGTGATGACAAGATCCTTCAAAGGGCTACGGGCATGGTAGAGAAGGCGCTGCCACCTGGGTCGTTCTGTGAATATTTGGCCATGCTACGGAGAAAGCATCCTGGTCTAAAGTGCAGTTACAAGCTCTTCACCACAGCTGCAGCCTCAGTGCATGCAGCTACAACATGTTACACGCACCAACGCATCAACAACAAATACTGGTCCACACAACAGAGCAGTAACACAGTAACACTATGTCACACTCAAAACTTGTTTACAGCCAACTGTTGACTAAGTTGCTCTAAACAGTGTAACAGTTTGTGTTTACCTTTTGGTCCTTAGGTGTGGGAGCTTCACTTCGGTGATGTGTTGAAGATTCGTGGCAAGAACCAGCACACAAAATGCTCTGTCTGCATACGTTTCAAACTCATGGTGCGCAAGCTGGCCAGATGCACCGCGGCAAGAGCAAAGCAGCTCAGGCTTCTTGATGAACACAGGCAAAAGCAGTACTTGGACCGGACTTGTTACTGGCACTCACGCTCTCTTTCTCGAAGCCTCTCAGCTTCCTCTACGCCGGGCACCATCGTATGCATTGTCGACTCGATGGACGCTGCCAAATTTGTTTGGCCGCGAGCGCCGTGCCTCGCGGCCAAGGAGTTCGCCCGGATGATCCGCCCGAAACTCACGGCTACAGCGATCATTTGCCATGGGCATGATACTATGGTTCACCTTTCCGTGCCAGGTGTTCATTCTGACAGTTCCCGCTCCATTGAGCTGATAGCCAGAATGTTGGAAAGGCTCAGGGAGCGCAATGTTGATGTCCGCGGATCAGAGCTCCTGATCCAGGGAGACAATGGACCGAAGGAGATCAAGAACAATGCCCTGATCAGGTACGTGTCCATGCTCGTATGCCACGGAAAGTTGAGACGCGCGGAAATCCGCACGTTGCAAACAGGGCACACGCACGAGGACATTGATTCTCTGTTTGCAAACTTTGCCAAGCTGTTGGAGCAGGATTGTCAGCACACTCCCTTCGATTACATCGACGCTTTGTCCGCTTACCTTGCCCGTGGTGATGTCAGACCAAACGAACCTCACTTCCAGGTGGCTATGGTGGACCAAGTTCGTGACTGGAATCTAGGCGATGATGATTCAGTCTTGTATTGTTCGGTTGGTTCATGGTTGACAAGCCTTCAAACTTACCTGGTTGTAACGACACTATGAAAGTGATTCTTTCAGGAAGACATTTCTTCATCACACCCAACGTGGCAACACAATCACTGGAATCGGAGGAAGCGGATCTGCCCATGTTTGGGCGCTGGACAGGCTTGAAGACTTAGGTGGGATAATGTTCAACCCATGTTCATTCACAATGATGGTATACTGGCGGCTGTCACAGCATTTGCATAGCTTGTCTCAACGTTGGACAACAAACATGCGCAACATGTAACTTAACACTGGACATCACAACATGCACCCAGGCCTCGCCATTGGACATCCTTCACTGGACACCAAATTTTGGCGTCGTCGAGGTGTGCCTTTTGGTCATCGCGATGTTGTGTTGAGGACATTTGTTTACTTAAAGAGTTTGTTTAGACATGTTTGTGATTACCCACTTGATTACCCGCAGGACCAAGCAGTTTCTCTCAGACGCTACCTTCAAGCCTGAGTGTTTGCTGTACCTTCCAGCCTCTGTGGGTGATCAATCTCGTGGCATGACAGTCCCAGGCCGGCTTGTCACACTTCACCCACCTTGGATTGATTCCACAGGTTTTTTGTTGGCTGACTTGTTAACCCTGGTAGCTTTTTGCCAGTTGCGCCCAATGAGCTGGCACAAGCGGTTTCAAACTGCGATGATATGGTCAAGTATGCACAAATTATGCGACTCTCAGCTTTGGAATTTAAGTGATGTGTGTCTTGAGTGACCTTGAGTCATTTGTTTCATATTATCTCGTTGTTCCCAGGAAACCCTCCTTTCAACATGGGTAGAGCGGCTGATTGCTTGGAACGATGGGCTCGTGGTCAGTGGGAGGTCAGCCCATTGCTGAAAGTTGATTGGCCTGAAACTCAAGTGCACACTTTGTGGTCCGGTGGTGTTTTAGCATTCTTGCCGGCTGGAGTCAGCTTGAGTTCTTTTTGGAAAATGCGAAGGTCTTTGCCATCGCTTGGCCCGTCTGTTGGGCCTGCCCAAGACTTGACTGGGATGAACCAAGTCACTGATTATAGACCGGTGCCCTACAAAGAGGTTTGACATTCGTTCACGCTGCTTCGTGTGATTTGCAGGTACCAACGCCAGCCAGGATGCTCGCCGTGAATCCTTTGCCGCGTGCTGAATTGGCACGTTTCCGATCCGCTCATGCCAGTGCCGTCATTGATGGTGCTGCAGCATCGATTTGGGCACACGGTGTGTCGTGGCAAGAGGCTCATTCCATAGCGCATGATGCGTACATGGCTGCAGCTCAGACTGGAGCTCATGTGGAGGTGTAGGTCTGGGTTTGTGAGCAAGCTTGCCCCCAAATATATGAACATGTGAAGTGATAGGTCTTCATTCAGGACAAGTTGTGAATTGTTGTTGTTGCTGCTCTTTTTTACGGCGCACGGTTTGTCGCAGGTAGTTGGCATTTTTGGTCGATGAATTAATTAACTCAATATTTTGCCAGACCTATTGTTTGAGCTGTGGTTTGGTGAGCTGGAGGGATAACCCTCACAGATGTTGCGTCATTGGGGTGTCTCACACAAGTTGGGGTGTGGTCAGCTCAGCCCAAGGAATGTGAACGCTAGGATCAGCACAAAGCCGAGATGTAGGGAGAGGTTGCATTTTGTGAAGGATGGGGACGCTATCCGGCACAAACCCCTAGGGCTGGGCTGATGAAATTATGTTGTTGGGGTTATGGCTGTTGAAACAACAGCCACTGCCCGCCTGGGCGCTAGAGTATGTGAAGGATGGGGACGCCATCCGGCACAACAAGCAGGCTTGGCTGGAGGCAGGTCATTGTGAAGGATTGAACCTTTGCAAACGCAGCAGTGTAGGCCTGAACTTATGTAATTTAATAAGCGAGTTTGTTGGGATTGGTTGGGGAGTGTGGTTCTTTTGGGGTGCTGACACCATTATTGATCTAAGATATGGATAGCATGATCCCTGCTCGCCACCCCAACAAACATCTGCACCGTGATTTTGTGAAGGATGGTGACGCTATCCGTCACAAAAAGGTGTGTATCGAGGTGCCATCCGTCACAAAAGGGTATGCATCGAGGTGCCATCCGTCACAAACTGGTATGCGTCGAGGCGCCATCCGTCACAAAATGGTATGTGTCGAGGTGCCATCCGTCACAAAATGGTAGGTGTCGAGGTGCCATCCGTCACAAAATGTTGTGTTTGGCAGATCCGTGACCAAATCCTATGTGTACACACCCGTCACAAACTGGTGGACGTTAGCTTGATCCTCGTACGGACTAACAACATTATGAGCTTCTGGGCATTATTGGCTGCAGCGCCAACCAGGTGATAGTGGTGCCATAATGTTTACAAGGGTTTGGCCAAGGGCCATAGGTCAAAGAAGTCAAGGCCTTGTTTCCAGCTAGCCCCTAGGCGCCAATCAGGCGACACACCACGTGAGAAAAAGTGTGCGAACACACAATCTGGGCATGTTTGTGTATCTACTGTTGTTGTTTACTGTTGATGCCAGGTTGGCCCATACTAGTTGGCGTTGGGACTTTTGGCTGCAATATGCTGCAATACTTTTGGCAGACAGACTTTGTGTATCACTGTTGTTATGTTAAGCTTTACTCACCATGCCGAGCTGCGGTTGAATTCAAACTGCTGCTTTTCGGGTCCGTGTGCACACGAGATCTTCTTAGGTGATGGCTCCAAAAAAACGTTCTAGCGGGGGCGCTGGTGGGGGGAAGCCGTCCAAATCTCGGAAGTCAACACCTGAAGACATTCAACATCTCTCTGATAAACTTCTAGCCCAACATCCTCACATTTGCATCATAGAGAAGTGGATGACACTTGGCTTGACAACAGCAAGAAGAGCAACCATCATTGCATGCAGCTTCAACAACAAACATGTGTAAAGCTCAAATGTGCGCAAACAAGGAATGACAAGGTCACCAGCCACGCCAGCATTGACAAGTACTTGGCACATTGCTTGCAGAAGGAGGTGCATCTCAGCAAACCCAACTACAAACCTGCTAGTGTCACCAGCATGTAGTTCAACGTTTGACACTGTGTGAGTCAAAGGTGCCAAACACTCTTGGCCACAAACATGACACATTTAAGAAAACGTTCTTGTGATCAGTTGTGACAGTCGGTCCTGATGCATCTTCTCACATCAATGGACCTCAGTCAGGCTGATGGAAAGGAGTTCTACAGCTTTGTGGAGCTACAGTTCCCAGCCGAACCTGGAGTGAAGCTCGGATGCACCATTACATTCTTTCTGGATGTCCATGTGAACATTCTATTATATTCTATTTATTGCTTCTTTCATTGAAAAGAAAACTGACTTCATGGGAGTTGGAGGAACTATGCTACAGAAGCTGATCTTCTTGTCCCTGGTGGTGTGTTTTTGCGGCCATGGCAGTTGAATTGGGATCCACAAGCCGGCTTGCGAGGATACGTTGATCCAGCCCCTTGCACAAACATAAGGCAACAGTTGGTCAGGAGTGGCACACACACATGACATCATAAACCACTATGGGGAGATACATGGAGATACCGAGGATGTGCTCAAGAACCTTGTGCAACTGTGCTGTTTAAATGGGTAGCTTGGCCACAAGTTCCAAG